CGACTAGCCGGACCTCGGTCGGTCCACAATGGGAGTTCAACGGCATAATCATGGGTTTCGCCTTCAAGAGTTCGGTTGGATTATTCACTTCACGTGACGGCTTTACGGAATGAATCAGGTTAGGCTTCTTGATCGATTTCGTTTCGGTGGATTGATTCACAATCGTCTTCACATCGACGGTTTGGATCGGGTACGCCATACGCTGCGGTGGCAACTTTATCGTCAATAACGTACATGCAGTTCCATAATGTGTGGAATCAGAACGGACTGTTCCGTAATTCGAGTCAATGGTTGACTTTGGACGATCCGAGCGTATGGTTTGTTTGTGGTCGGTGATGGTGTTCGGTGTTGGTGGTGCCTGATATCGGTAGTTGGAAAGGCAAGCAGCAATGTTTCCACCAGTATACAGGCCTCGGTATAGAGATCATCGAACGCAGGTAGTCCTCATCCTGCTCATTAGACTGATGTAAATTTTGAAATTTTCGCTGCACAGTGCTTAAACGGTTCCAAATTGGGTCCTGTTAGGCCTCCCAAAATTTGAACTACTTTAGAACTACTGACTTGGCACAAACCATTTCAAGTTTATATAGGAATTACTATGGGAAAACTTATGTTTTTGTTCATATCTATCTAACAATTCACCACGTCACTTTGCTTTTAAAAACGATAGCAGTTGCTCAGCTACAACTTGGTTGAAAACTACTTTTCAATCAAATGTAACACAAGACGGCAACGTTGCATGTCGTATAACAGCCTCACAGTGGGCTGTCGCTTATAGCTCAATCTCAAGGCTGTCGTAGGAAAAAGAAAGCGACAGCCGTTGAAATACTGTCATGAGGCGGTACTTTTGGTATGCCTGTGTCATACTGCAAAATACAGTGTTGCCCACAGATCAGCTGCTTGATCATGCCATAAGATTATCAATCTCTTAAACAGTTAATAACAATTTAATTTAACATTTGGCTGAGGGGCGACCCCGGCGTAGTGGTTAACATCCATACCTCTCACGCCAAAGTCACGAGTTCAAATCTCACCCCCGGAAAAGTCACGAATGACCCAAGAGTGTTGAAGTGACTATAATAATAATAAAAAAAAAAAAAAAAAAAACATTTGGCTGAAAAACGATATTCCGTAAAGTTGTAGCTTAGAAAATTTCCCGTAAGAACAGTTGTAGAAACTTACGAAAAAGCAATATGGAAAATGGGCAGTAGACAATGAACAAAATGTTTGGTTTTCCCATAGTAATTTCCATATAAACTTGGAATAGTTTGTGCCAAGTCAGTTTCTTACCAAATGAGTTTAAATGTTGGGAGGCTAATCAGGACCTGATTTGAAACCGTTTGAGCACTGTGGAGCGAAAATTTCAAATTTTGCATCAGTCTACTGTTCATCATATCTCTCTGCAGAGATGGCGGTCCTAATGCTGTTGTGCAACCATTGATACTCCTGGTAGTTGGTTCCTAGCGTATCTGTTGCACAACACCGGATGCATGGTAATATCGGTTTCTTGCACTTCCTTCAGGATTCGCGTTACCTTCTCCTTTACTAAGCCGCGAAGAAGTACGATCAACCTTTCCACATCGGTCATCTTTGGAACGCGTAGTAAACTATCACACGCATGCGATTCACTTTTCGGGATATTGATTTTCGCGAACGCACTCACTCATACGATATACTTCTTCTTTCCTTTATTTAACGTCGGTCTCTGTTCCGCAATCTAGTGCCAATCACCGACGGACATCGATTGCCATCCATTGACGACAATCGAATGTGCAGGAAGGCAGCTTCCACACCTGCGTAGGATATCGCACCCATTCACAATACACATGGGCCGGGACCAACGGCTTTACTTCCCTTCCGAAGGAAGACGTGACCAGAGATTTTTATGCCTCAGAAAAATCCCACCGACCTCGGCTGGGATTGAACCCAGACCCATTGGGGTGTTAGAAAGCAGTCACGCTTACCACTACACCACCGGCGCCGGCTCATACGATATACGATTCCCTTTTTTTGTATACTTCGCACACGACTGTCATCGGCAGCAGTGGAAGTAGTTTTGTTTGTTTGCCACTTTGCGAGCGTAGCACGTCCGTTCCTTTCGTTTCGGCTTCGTTCCAATTGGTAGGAACATCTATGGGTAAAACTTTCACGGCAAAAGCTTCTTGGCTCGTGATCTGGCTCGAAGGACCAAATTATGTTCGGACTGGGAGGGAACCTTCCCTTTTCATAGTGGACTGTATCGGCAGGGTGGTGGAGGAAGCAAGCGTCGATCGGAAATCAACTCGTAAGGACTCTCAAAAGAGCTGCTCCAAACCAGGGATGTGTGCAGAATAAACTTGATCGGGACGGCTACGCTAGGTAACAACTGTTTATTCTCTCCTCTTTCTCTCTACAAATTCTGCTTCTACTGCTGCTGATGTTTGCTGGTGCTTGGTCGGAAAAGAACTCTATTTTGCACAGACAGATTTTCCTTTATTTAACGTCGGTCTCTGTTCCGCAATCTAGTGCCAATCACCCACGGACCTCTCTTTTGCACGGTGATGCATGCCTCTTTTAAAGCGGCGAGCGATGATGTGGTCATCGCTGATTGGTGGATGTTGTAGCCTATTGATGCTCTCCTTCTTCGCTGCGTGTTGGTGGTGTTCGTAACAGTTGACTTTCGGCGGAGACGGAACAGCCGGTATGATCCCAATTTTCTCGAAGCATCTTAAAGCTGGGTTTAGACAGGGCAAGTCAATTGATCAAGTCAGTTGAATTCAACTGACTTGAACGCGAATTGAACGTGTAAACCATGCCATTCAACTGACTTGATCAACTCGCTTGAATTGAAACAAGTTGAAACACGCTCAACTTTTCAAGCCAATTGAATTCAACTGAGTTGATCATTTGACTTGCCTAATCTAAACCCAGCTTAAGAGTTCACAATTTTTCTTAATTTACGATTATAGATATTTAAACTGCTACAGAAAGTCTGAACTAAAGTCATGGGAAATGCTATTAAGATCTGAAATTCTCCAAAGATCTCTAGATCTAACTTTTCTGAGGTGCTTAGAACTTCTTAAAAAATTGCACAATATCCCTCAAGGTTTTCTATATTTTCAAGTTCGCTTAACACCTGTGATGTGCTCTGAAATTCTAGGAACTTAATAAAAGTTCCTGAAAATTTTCGGATGTTAAAAGAACCGATTTGAGGATCTTAAAGCTTCCAGTTAGTTCCCCATAATTTCAGTGTGTTAATTTCCCTTATGTTACCGTAGTTTGTTTATGGAGCTTCACTGAAATTATCAGCCTTTTCTTTCATTCATCAGAACTTCTTCAAAGTTCCTACAATTGTTGTGAAGTTAATGGGACTGCAATGAAGATCTCTAATGTTTCATAAAGTTAATTACGAACTTGAAATAAATCAATTAATGTTTTCCTTAATCCAGGCACTTTGAAAATTTTCAATATCTTGAACTTGTACATGGAATACAAAGCTACAAAACATTGAATATTTTTAGATCTTGGACTTACTCAGATTAAGTACGTTTTTTAACTTTATTAAAGTGAGAAATTAAGTAAGTGCTAAAATTAAAGTTTTTTTTGCTTTATTATAGAGACTTTCAGCCTGTAGCTGGTTCGTCTCTTTGAAGGATTAGGGCTCCTGAGGGGGTCCCGGATAGAGAAAATAAATAAATTACATAGTGTTTGTTACAGAGTTTAAGTATCTCAGAGTTCTGTGTCGATTGGTTTAACAGTAAGGAAGGTGAACGAAGTTGTGGTTAATTTCCTAGAGAGAGGGTCAATGTCCGTAGCTTGCGGGGTTGTCATCGTTGTTCTTCCGTTTGATATGTCATTTAGAGAGCTGGTGTTGTCCAAGTGCCGTCGTTTGTCCGTTGTCGTGTCATTGTTCGTTGCGGGGTTCTACGTATATTGATATTTATTTATTTATTTATTTGTCGTCAATCAGTGTAGACCGTTTTACAATTGTTGTCTTAAGTGCTATTTTTACAATTTTGTCTTTGTTTATATTTTTTATAATATGTCTTAAGAAAAAGTTAAAACATTACTTCTAGTTGACGTTATGCGACGAATTAAAATATTGGTTTAATTTAGTTTTTGTCATTGTAAAGTCAATGTTATCGCAGTGCTTATTATATGTATCCAGCATTTGGTTCAAGGGTCCAAATTTGGCATAATTCGTACGATGACGATTTGTAGCAAATATATTTCTGTTTCGTAAATGCCTAGATGGTGTATATAAATTTAAGGATGACAATAGTTCTATTGAATCAATTCGATGTGATACGATATCGTTTACGAAAGAATAGCCTGTGTCTTTAAGGAAGTCGAGAAGTGATCTTTCCCTGTCTGGGTCATTGGATAGTGCGTCTCTGATGCTGAGACCGATACCATATTGGTCTCGGAGGTTTTGATGTGCAGGGCAATTTATTATGAGATGCTCAACTGACATTTTGGTTGAGCACCCCATACATTGCTTGTGGAATCCATCACGGGATCCGAGATCGTGTGATTATAAAGTAGTTTCTTTGAAACTTACTGCCATGCCTTAAAAACGTTTGGGTAAATTACTGTTGTTTTTGATCTTCCAGAAAAAGCTTATTTAGAACGCATTTTAAAAATTTTATCCGTTAAAGTTCTGGAAAACCTGGAAAACCCAGGAAATTTTATTTATAAAAATGTGCAGACACCCTGTAGATAGAGAAAGACGATTAAACGTCACAAAGCAAACAATGATCAATCTTGAAATAAATTCACGCTAAAAAAGTTGAAAATAGTGACTGATTACAAGAAAAAGTAACTTTAGTGACATGACCTTAAAAAAGAGACTTTTTAGTGACTGGCTTGAAAAAAGTGACCAAGTCACTAAAAAGTGACTCACAACGCAACGCAAATTATGCAAAATAATGCCAGTATATGTTAAAATGTCAAGATAAACTAAAAATAAAGGTTCCTCCTTTCAATTGGGAAGTATTAACCCGCATAGAAGAGAAACTTACCTTATGGCAGCATTATTTCCTTGATCCGCATCCGTAGCTTGAATGTGTGCAATAACATTATTTTCGTTCGTCCATTCGTCCTCACTAACTTGCACCGTGTACGTCCTTTCACTAAATTGTGGATAGTTATCATTGTCGTCGAGAACTTTCACCAAAACTGTTGCAGTTGCAGATCGTCGTTCCATTTGAGGTGTTGCCATATCAGTTGCTGTTGTGATAATCGTGTACATTTCCGATGTTTCACGATCCAAAGCACTGCGCGTAGATATTGTACCACTTCGTGCATCGATACGGAATGTTTGTTCGTCCTGTTCAGCTGTCGTAGCACCATCGCCGCTGATACTAACAATTGAGTATTCAATATCTGCATTTTTACCGATATCCTGATCGGTTGCTCTGATGGTAATTACCGTAGATCCAACACTTGTTCCTTCTCGAATGCTAGCTTGAAATTCCTCGGATTCGAAAGTAGGAGTATGATCATTGCAATCTAGAACATTCACCTGAAGCGTAGTTGTGCCGGATCGTGGCGGAAAACTGTCATCAGTTGCAACCACACGGAAGTAATGGACATCCATTAATTCTCGATCGAGACTCGCTGCTGTTGTTACTATACCAGTTCTTGAATCAACTTTGAACATGGATTGCGAGCGTGAATCTAACAATGAAATCATGGAGTAAACAACAGGCGAATCTTCCGGATCACGTGCCCGAACAGTGGTGACAGTCGCTCCAGGAGGTTGCTCTTCAGTACAGGATGCTACGTAAAGTGCTTGCTCGAAATATGGACTTTGATTTCGCAGTTCACGCTTGACACGTTTCGCAATGTCCGTATCATTCAACTCCTGATGATGGTAGACAATTTTTAGACGATGATCTGCATCTATTATGTCTTTGCGATTACATCTAACATTGAAAGTAATGGCTACTTTCCATAACGACTCCGCTATGCATAGGTCATCGCTGGCTACCAAGTCACCTGATTGCGGTTCAATTTTGAAACGTTCATCGTTCACGTCCAAATATTTGACTGTGCAATATTGAAGAACAGTTTTCGGTAAAAATGAATTTATTGAATTGATGTACTGAGACTTTTTGAGACAAATTTTATTCCATTTGTCTGTTGTGTGAATAGCGTAGGAAGCATAGGTTTCCGAAATCCATTGCCGTGCATCGTTGATCTTACGATGTATGCGTTGGTCGGACGGTTCCACTAGACCACGCTTTTTGCGGACTATAATATTATGGCGGTAAGCGTTCCTTTCTGTGCTGTCGAACAGGATATCGCCATCTTGGAAGGAAGTGTAGTTGGTAATCGATCTCTTCAACCATGGATATTCAAGGTAGTAATTGTGGAGATTACTACCCATGTATTCACCGTACAGGCGATAGTAGTTTTCTTCGATGGTTCGCTTGCGTCTTCTGTTATATCCAGTATCATCTTCTTCGAAAAAATGTCTAAAACTTTCTGCTACGGCATCGTCTGTACAATTGGTCCCAGCGATAAATATTCGCAATGGCAAGCTATAATAATCTATACTTCGAAGCCTATTTGAGGTAGAGTCTACGTAAAATGTAAACAAGTTAGGGTAGTAAATTCCATCGCATGTCAGTCGTTTTCTCAGACGAATTTGTCCGCTGTGCGGATCTACTTTGAGCAAATGGTGAACAAAATGTGCAGATTTATGTGTGTTAATTTTGTAGTGCCTTTCAGATCCTAGTTTATAAACGGAAGCGTTAAACACTATTCTATCCGATTCGTCATTTTCACCAACAATGACCATGTAACCGCTGACACATCGCCAAAAGGATATTACTTGAACGACTAACAGTGCCAACGATGCTATTCGTGTTGCCGGTAGCTTCATTTTACGCTCGTAGTTCGAATGGCTTTTTAAATTGTCGAAGAATTATGTCATCGTGATGAGATCCTGAAAAGACAAATGGAAATTGAGAATTAATGCAATGTAAACTATAGAAGCGTTTAACTAGTCTGAATGTCTAGGACAAACACCCATCATGCAACACATCAGAATTCAAAAACAAGATCCTGGTCGAAATAGAACATATCGAGTGTCCCAGACTACATTGGTCACATCCACTCCAGAGAGTGGCCAGTTTCAAGCTAGAGCCACACCTCATTGTGCGACATGAGAACTCTAAAACAAGCTCATTGCCTGTCACATTAAGAACCCAAGACAATATTGGCCAACACCTGGAGATGTCTCGGATATCCCCTGGGACGTTGCTTGAATTTTGATTAAGTAAGAAGAGTCAGATCTCACCATTGCATTGGCGGATATATTCAGGTTTTTTTAGAGTTACCCACTGTTTTAGGTTGCTGTCTCGGTTGTGCTCTTCATACTATACACATATAGTGGTGTATGACGAAGAAAAGCAGATACACGACGGACTAGCTCGGAGCCTTATCTAATACCTGAAATTTAGAGATCTATAAGCCCCTAAATCTTGAGATTTCTGTTTTTGAAACTGTGATTTTTTAAACTTTATTATTGAGATTTTTTGCCAACGGGCTGGTTTATCTCAAGGTGAAATTGCGAAGTGTGATATGAATGAGGACTCTTTAAACAAACCTTTGCTTCTAACAATTTTACGGATTTCCAATTTGTTTAAATTTTCCACAAATTTTTTTAATGATTAAGGATCTTATTTAGCGGAATTTTGATTACAACATGATTTCAAAATCATATGATTAAAAGATTTCATAAACAACGCTGGTTTAATAACTCTTATTATTAAAAAGACTGACTGTTGAAGTTCATAGAAACTCCCTAAAGTTCGTAGAACTTCCCTGAAGGGTTCATTGAAGTTTGTATTGCCTGAATTTCATGGGATTTTCGAAGGACTTTTTTTAAGATCTTAGGACTTCCCTCAAGTTCGGAGTTTTTTTTAAATTCATAGGAATATATGAGGACCCTAAATTTAGAAGAGCTTCCCTGAAGTTCATAAGGCTTTAAATAATATCGAAGGGTTTTCCAAAAGTTTGTGGGTCTTTCCTTAATTTCTTGGAAATTCTCTGAAGTTTGGAGAGCTCCCATTAATTTCGTAGGACTACATGTAGTTCAATCGACTTCTCGGAAGTTCTAGGAACTTTTTCGAGCTTGGAGAACTATGTTAAGTTCAGAGGACTTCCCAAGAGTATTGAAGACTTCTCTGAAGCTCGGAAAAATCCATAAGTGTCATAGGATTATCCTTAAGTTTTAAGCAATGCCTAAGTCGTAGAAGTTACATTAAATCTGTAGAAAATTCTGTAAAATTCGTAGTTATTCCCCAAAGATTAAAGAACTTCCCTGAAGTTCGTAAGACTTCTCTGAAATTTGTAGAACTTCGTCGAAGGTCATCACAGTAGTTCACAGGATTTTCCTGAAACTTGTAAGAATTTCCCGAATTTTGCTGAACTTGCATGAAGTTCAAAGGCCTTATCTGAAGTTTTTAGAAATAGAACTTTTTTATTGAACATGTTGAACAGGTACTTCAAAGTAGTTACGCGTCGGCACTGCTTAAGTCTGCTATCAATTAAGCACAAATCATACCTGCAATTGATTCGAGAAAAAAAAAAATAAAAATAAATACAAAATATATTTACTAAATTCTCAGGGTAAATTTTGTTCATCAATGTTTAGTTGTGTGAAAGATTTAGTTTGAACTAAATGGTTAGTTTTGACCTGATTATAAAAAGAAACTTTGACATACATAAAATTTAAAACCTATTTAAATTATACAAACAAGATTATTTTCCTGGTGGACTTATGAATTCCTGGTTTTTTTCCCAGTTTTCCTGGTGAAAATAAATTCCTGCCTTTTTCCCGGCCTTCCTGGTTTTCCTGGTTTACTTACCACCTTGGTATTTTCTTCAACTAGTTTTTATCAACAAATATGCGTGCTCCAAAAAATCTACTTTCATGATCGGTTCAGCTATGTCCATTCTACAAAATTCAATCACATTGTGCGTGCTCTAAAAAATCTAATATCAAGCATCGATTCAGTCATATTTTTCAAATGAAGGGGTAGCAAATCAAGTTTGTAGAGCAGCTAAATAAAAATGTGCATGAATATACGTATTTTTGTGAATTTTAACTCGTTTTTCTCAATTGGACGTGCTCAAAAAAAATCTACTTTCACGCATCGGTTCAGCCAGATCTATTTTTCAAAATCCAATCATATTTTTTGAAGGGCAGTCCTATAGAATTGAAAAAAAAACACGTATGTAAGATACACTGGAGTCGCTTTTTACACGGGTGATACGTCCCGCGTAAAAAAAAACCGCGTTAATTCCGGAATCCGCGTAAATTCCGAAATCCGCGTAAAAAAAGATCGCGTAAAAAGCGATTCTAGTGTATTATGATAAACCGCGTAAATTCTGAAATCCGCGTAAAAAAAAAAACCAAAAACCAAATATACTAGGGGAAATGACGGCTTCGGCATGCCAGACTATTTTCGGCAACCCAAATTGAAACACTATTTTCACTGGATTTTCTTACGAAAACACTTCGCTGAATGCATGCAAACCATTCTTTATGCTTTCAGCTTCAATTTGACTATATTTTTACCACTGAGAAAAAGCAATCTAGCAAGGTTTTCTTGAAATGAAACACACGCACTACAAATTGTAGCTGATTTCGAGTTGCCGATAATAGAACAGCAGATTTACATGCAGTTCAAATGGAACGGTTGCCGAAGAAAAACTGGTTGCCGACAATACTCGCTCTCACTAGAGAAGATTGGAGCTTTGTAAAAGCGTTTCAAAACAGTTTTTGACAATTCTTTCGACTGAAATTGTTAGAGCAGCTGGCAGCAAAAGATTGTAAACAAACCAATACTGCATATGTGTGCGTTCCTTAGAGAAAAAGGCTATAGAAAGAAGATCGCTGCTTAGGTTGCCGAGAATACGTAAATTCCCCTATATCATCAATACAGTTCACTCTTTGATTTTCCATACATCATACATTTTGCAATTATTATAACGTACATCGGGGCAAGTGGGACCTAAGATTTGATACAATAATTATTATTTTTAATTTTTAAAAGCTTAGTAATTACAGAGTGGCCAGTGAATTTTCATTTTGAAATGGCCAGTTTTTCCATGTTTTAATCTTAAAAATTTCCCGGTTGTTAATATTCAACAAAAAACAAAAAAGTTCTGAGCACAATTCCAAAATTATTCTGACATGAGGTCCTTAGAAATTGTTAGATGAATTTGGAGGCATTTTTGTGCAGAAGAATGCAAGCTCTAGATTAAATTCTTTGGTAATTCTAAAAGATTCCAAAAAAGAGTTGAGAAAAAAAAACAAGGTAAATTCCTCTGATGAGATTTGTATGGAGATCGTGAGGAAAATGGCAGATGAATTTTAAGAAGAATTCCAAGAGAATTATGATGAGGATTCAACAAGAAACAGAGTTCACGGATTTGACGGATTTCACAAATATTTGTTTCCAAAGTCCAGCATTAATATTTTATTTTAATGCCCATGCACTTTACATCTGAAATTGAAACGAAACAAATCAATTGGAAATATTGCTGAGTGATTAAATTCAAATTAAAATAATAATAGAGCAAGACATTCATTTGGTAAAGAATCACTCTGTTTTAATGGATAATTCTGATTTTTTTTTTTGGGTATTAAGCTGGAGCTGCGTGACAGCTTAGGTTTCAAGACTTGACCCATTTGAATAAATGTTGCTTCTATCTTTGACAATACAGCAGAAGGACTAGCTGATTCCGTGTGTATTGTTTTAAGATACTTACGGAAAAAAATGCTGTGACGTGTGCGCGTAGATACATCCGCGTAGTAAACCGATTGAGTAAGTTAATCCGTTTCGAACGAAATATCTAAATTATGTAAGTTACGAAAACGCGAATTCCGAAAGCCGTGCCAGGCAACCGAAGCGAGAAAAAAGGGTTATTATCATTTAAAGAGTGCCACCAAAATAAATGTGATAGCCTATGTTGGCAAGTTGATTAATTTTGGTTTCCTCCCGAGATATTCTACTTTTTACAGCTCAAAGCTCAGCTATCAAATTAGTTAATTTAAAGAACGTATCAATCATTTCAAGATTTCGCGACCGTACCGAACAAATTCTATACTACATACGCTCAAAAGCGCTTGACAAGCTCTACCGAATTGTGTATCACTTCTGCGTAAGCTCCGTAGACGTAGGCGCGTTGGTTCCGACAGCCGCCAAAGGTTTAACCTGCACCAAAACCGCTTAAGGAACGACCTCGAGTCAGTAAAACCGTTTAGAGCTAAACATCTAAATTACGTAAGATACGAAAATCGCACAAATTACGAACGACGCGCGAGACAGCCGTAGAGAAAAAACAGCTTATTAAAAAATAAATGTGATAGCCTATGTTGGCAAGTTGATTTATTTTGGTATCCTCCCTAGATATTCCACTTATTTTACTATTGAACTTTGTTTCAATTTAGTTATTTTACCGCACGTATCAATCATTTCAAAATTTCGTGACCGTACCGAACGCGAATCACTTCTGCGTAAGCTCCGTAGACGTAGGCGCGTTGAATCCGACAGCCGCGAAAAGTTAAACATGCATCGATGCGTCAATACCACATAAGAAAAGATCGATTTTACAGTCACGTAGGGTTTAGTTCATAGATTAACATTGGCTGCTGTTTACAAATGTCAGTACTTGAACACTAAGAAATAAGTTAACTCAAATGCTTTAACCGCATATATCAGAGATTTCGCGTATTGAGAGAATAATATAGTTATCGAGTACAATAAACTCAGGGGAAAACAATACCTACAAAAGTCTAAAAGTTATCAATTGTCACATACCTCTACTTTTACTTATTTCCTAAACTATTCCTCTCCTTGTTAATTTGCTAAATGCTATTGGTTTGCTTGCGTTTTCTTATTGAAGTTCAAGACTAAATAGATTTATTCTACA